TTTTTAAGCTAAAATTGTTATACAAACTCTACAGCTTAAGGGATAATATAAATCTATTTTGCATTGTATTTGGTCTGGTAACCAAAAAAAGTTGTTAAATGTTTTTAATATGCTTTGTACTTATTAACCTTAATATAATATGTATAATAAATAAGTGCGGTTAAAATTAAAACCTGAGTATCGAACTAAATAATAAATAGTATAATTATTATTTGTATTTATGTAATTTATAAGTTCAGTCTAGAGATGCCGAGAATACTCATAATAAAACTTGTTTACAGAGATACAAATAGAAAGAAAATTGTAAAACTAAAGTTATATTTTAAAAATTTCAAATATACGTCTTATTGCATTACAAAAACTATTTTAAAATGATGTTTTTATAAAAATATATAGAGCTTATTATCTTGGAATATCTTCATTTTAGTTGGTTTAGTAAATTTTACATTGCTGTATTACACAAAACACCACGCTTTAATTTGCCATTCATTTTAAAAAACGCAAATTCGACCACCGTATGTTTGTCATCTGATTAATGCAGTCTGAATATAAGCAAAATATTATAAAGTAGATAGCCAGGCCGCCATTCTCGTACATAGTTTGCGTCTTGAATCTTGTATCTGACTATTAACTTTATGTTCAGGACTTAAGCCGATTATATCCTCAAAGGTATCGATTAGTGAATTGAGATTATTTAAACTTTGATTCGATGTGAATACTGGTGAAGGAACTGAAACTATCAGGCGTAATCTTGTTAAGGAGTTTGAATTAGAAAATAGAAAGTAAATCCAATATAATATAAATGAATAAATAGGATATTCCCAAATATTTCTCTGCACAAGGTTTTTAGTGTGGAGATCAAGCGTCGATCATTTTGACAACGTATTATCATCATCTGACGTTTATTATCATTTTCGTTAGCATTGTAGTATGGCCGTAATAATATTAATCGACACATTTCATCGGCGGATCTAAACTCTTGAACTAAATTGTTATTCTTAATTTTTTTTTTAAAAAAAAAAAAGTTAGTCATTGTTATTTACAAAAAAAGGTATTAATTATATAGTACAATTATAAACAATTTTACCACAGTATTGGCCACCACATCGAGATATTGCTCGAAAAGAAAAGGTAGCATTGTCAAGTTCCATTGTTTTTGAGAAGAAATTGGCGTAGTAAAAACCATGCATGAAGTGGATGGAAGCAAATCAATTATATCTGAAATAAAAATAAAGTATCAATTAAATGAAATAAAAAGTCTTTTTTTTATAGTCAGATACTAACCATTTTTCATAGTATTTGTTGTTCGAATGTTATCGACATACAATGAATGCCACTCATAATCTTCAAACGAACACGCTGATTGATCAATGTCAGATTTTGCTATTGTTTGGTACCATAGTAATATACCAAATTCTAGGCCACTCAAGATAAGGTCAAGTGGTAAATCTACCAATGCTGTTATTATCCCTTCTTGTTCAGCTGGAAGTATTTCGATGCAAGAGGAACGTATTCTAATTAGTGACGAAACAAACTTGGATGTGTTTTTAAGATAGGCAGTCAAATGCACAGCATAAAGCTCTTGGCTATATATAACAAGTGATATTTCTTGATAAGAATCATAAGTTATGAACCGAGGAGAATGATTTAAGAATCTTATAATAGATATAATTTACCAAGCAAGACTTTGAACCAAGACCTCAATCAATATTTTATCTTTTTTGCTCATTTCACCATAAACGACTCTAGCTTCCAATACACGAAGGTATTGATTATTATTAATAGTGGACTCATTCATATCTTCCAACATAATTGGTGTATCGACAAGAAGTGGAAGTAACTTTCCAATAGACTTGTTAATGGATAAATTTCTCTTTTTGAATGTCACTTGATGAAGATGATAAAATGCAAATATATCAGAAAGGCATTCAAGTAATGAATCACAATGTGCCAGGAGGTTATGTTTTTGTTCTAGCTATAAGTAATGAAAGTTAAAATAAAATTTATCATCACAATATATTCTGCAAGAATCATATAATAAAGAATAAAAATATACCATTTCTTTAATTTTCCTTGTTTGTGCTGTCCCATCATATATTCTATTAGAAAGGGAATCGATAAGAGAACTCATGTGTGAAGCATCTTTGACTTGAGTTACTATTTAAAGAAATCACAATTCAATAAAGACCATTTGGAGTTCACCAAGTTATATACTAGTTATATGTTAGAAAAAACAAACCATTATTATCCGATGATATATCATTCTCTTGTAAATTATTTAAATGGATCATTTTCAAGGATGATGCATTGATTCCAAGTGAATGAGGCACGAGTATTATTTCGTTAAATCCAATTTGAGAAAATTCACCAATAACGACGCTATAATCTGATGAAATTTCTTAAAAGGATTTTCAATTTAATTTTAATTTTGCTATGTGTTCATATAAAAGGTTATATCAATTCTTAATACCTTGCATTATAATTCCACTTTCTGAATTAATTATGATATTTCTGCCATCTACAATTTGGACAATCAAGACAGACTCACAATTTGTAACTCGTTTATCCAATCGAATCTGCTTTCTAAGAGCTCTCCATATATTAAACATGTATTCTTCAATTGATACAATATTGCTCGCACTTACATCAATGAAGGCATTCCAGTAATGACAGTACACCAAGAAAGTTTCATTTCTCCTGTATTATTATTATCTTTAAAGCATATAATCTGGGCCTGTGAAGTTCCTATCCAGATGATCTCTTTTTCGTGAGACCTTGCTAGACACGTAGCGATCCTTGCATAATACCCAGGAATTCTTGGTATAGTACTATTTTTCAATATAAAATTATCATTTTTTAAACATATCATTTTTATATAAGGTTCATATAACGGACGAAATATCACATTGATAATTCTACAAGGGTCATCCATATTTTGATATTCATCATGTTGAAATGGTAACCAAAAACCATAAATACAATATGCCGATATAGCAAATGAACATGTAGAATCAATATGTGATGACCTCCAAAGAAGTATATAAGTGTTATTTTCCTCAAATGCACCAAGAGCACTATCAGATGCCTCAGAATTATCTTGATAAACAAAT